TGTAACAATATCATGCTAAACGTGTGACTATGTTACGGTAAAACCATGACATCCAGTTTTTACCGTAACATTGCTACACTTTTAGCATGATATTGTTACACATTTACCGTAACATTTCGGGACAGTGGAATCAATTGTCATTTTCTTGCTCGAAGTCGTAACAGACACACAGTCGCCTCTTTAAGTACATATAGCATAAACAACCTATGTTGTCCTTTGACTTGACATTAATTTTGCTTTAAACACAACCGACAAGTGGCGCTCTTTTTGCTGTAGACTTAGTATTATCCTGACAAAATAATTCTTTCGTACATGTTTAACTGAATATACTTTTGAAATATGCCAAAGGTTTTTACAAACACTGCCCTTCTTTATCGACAAAATGCAGTGATGAATTATGAAACTTCGGCCAATGGTCAAAATCTTTACTTTTTTTTCCCTTTTTTAGGATGAACCGTATTGTACACACAGACAGCCATTCTGTAAGACCCTAAACTAAAGTCAAAGGAATACTTACTTATGTATCTTTTCATTTTGTTTCTAAGTTCATATCTTGTATTTTCATCCTTTATCTTTATCTGACTTATTTTTTGTATCGCGATTCGCGATCTTTGGTAGTCTCTTACGTTTCGTAAATAAAGTCTTAAAGTACACTGCGCTACTCACGAGTACCGCACAATGTGTCCAGCATTCATACAAAGGGCAAGTCTGGACGTGAAGCATTTTTTGATGGGCTTGACTTGCAGAAACTTGGACTTGAGTTTTTTGATTTAGTGGATTTAGTGTTAATAAGTTATACTTCAAGATATCTAGTATAGGATATTTTTTGTTCCAACAATTACCATTGTCAAAGCCTTTCAAGCTGAAAGTAGCTTGACAGTCGCTATTGTCCTAAGCAAAGTTATCGGACACTTATCTTGACCGTCTTATTACTTAACTCTGGTAAATTATTCATGTTTTTAGGAATTATCTCAGATTGGACAAAAGTCAGTTAAGTGTAGGGATGTTCGGTTCTCGATTTCGGCTCTCGAGTTAGAACCGAAACGAATAGAACTGCGATTCTGGTTCTCGACTTAGAATCGACACTTAACTTAAGTGTCAAAAAAGCAGGGGCGTGTATCCTCTGGGACGTTTGAGGCGCAATGCCTCAAACAAAAATAAAATTGCTGTAGAAATTCATTTTTCACATGACACACTGAGACATCGAGCCTGGGAGGTGATATGCCTCAAATATTCAGATGGGAATGGACGCCACTGCAGAAAAGTTAAGGCGCTAATCCTGACGAAGAACTTTATTATATGTTTTTAGAAAGTAGTATTAGGCTAACATACTTTGTTGAGTTAAGAATAGCGGTTAACCTCACACGTGTATGGTGAGTACAGAAGCTGCTTCATGGCAAAGGAAGCAGTGTTTTACTTTGAAACTGAAGTCTTTTTTAAAAATCTAATTAACCTTCCTGGCAATGATTAACTCTTTACACTCGTCGGTTCCTTCCAAGGGATATTAATGTAATAGGTTTATAAAAAGAATGGATCTATTGACTGAATTAGCAACTTTTGGCAACTATCAGCAAAGACAGAGTCTGTTGCCTTCATCGTCCGATTCTTCTTTCACCATCTTTCCTGCTTTTGATTCGTCTCTGTCTAACATGAAGCGACTGCAGTTAAACCGGCCGTGTGAAAATCTCTGGCAGTTTCTGTCGACATCGTAACTTGTGCGTAGTACAATTACAATCTAGTTTTATTTAGTTCTGTTTGCTTCTACTAATGTAAACAGGCGCTAGTTTTTCATTTTTCCATGTTCACTAAGTTATTCTAAGATAGATATTCACTCTAACGTTTCAATTTTTATGAAGAAGAATTTCTGTAGTTTATGAGAGTGGTCGCATGTGCTTCTCTGTTTTTTTATCTGTGTATGATATTTGTTCTTGTTGTTGCTTCATTTTAATCATGTGTAATTATGTTACGTTTATTCTTTTAGTGTTAAATGGACACTGGATTTTGTAATAAAAAAATATTATCATTATTTCGTAATCAACATGAATATGTGATTGATATAAATAAAATTATTAAAGAATTAGCTTTGCCTCCTAAACTAGTCAGAGATTATCTCCAAGAAATGACAGTATTGTATCAAATAACAGATGATCGAAATAGCCTTCAATTCAATCCACAAGTAAGCTTAGATAACGAAATGAGTCGACACACATCAGGCGAGTGAATATTAAAAGAATTTTTATTATTCACTGTCACTTAGTCTTTCTCTTTTGTTACTCTGAGACGATATCCATTAATGGAATATATTTTATTGCTAGTTTATCTTAGATATCATTATGTGACAAATATCAACAAAACAGATGTACAGACAAATCGTGTATCGCATTACACATTTGCAAAGAATTTTTATTAAATCAAGAATGTGAGAAATTACGTCGAACTGGTCATTGTACATTCGACCATTCGTTGGAAACCAAACATAATCAAAACATTTTAAGACATTTTAATTTAACATCCGATCTTATATCCTCCATATTCAAATTTAAACAAGAGAAAGACAATGATCAAGATGCAAATCGCATTGACGACTGGCTGTCACAAAATAAGAAAGAAGATCAGGAAAATATAAATGATTCTGGAAATACCATATTAATATTAAAATCAAAAGATAATCAAATAGAATTCACTGAAAAAGTACTTGATCAGCTATTATATGAAAATAAACAACGTGTTAAACAAATAACCATTCTAAACAAAACAACAGTGGAAATAGAATGGTTAGATGCTGAAGGTATGTTATACACGAATTGCATTTATTAATAGAAGGAAAACGAGAAGCAGCAGCGCAGATGTTGCATTAAGACTTGAAGATGATATAAATTGAGAGAATAAGAGTAATTGAAAAATTTGAAAAACTTGCATTTGTTCCGGTTAATTAAACATAAAACAAGCCAAGGTGGAAAATTGATTATATTCTCTGTAAACTTTCTGATTTTTCATCCAACATTTTTAACGTTTATTTTAAAAAGTTTATTCAGTTGAGGTTCATGATGAGTATGCGAAGTGTTTGAATAAATAAATATCAATTAAAGAAATTCTGTTGTACGTATCATTATTAAACATATCCAAATACTATATTGGATCGAATTTTCATGAATAAACTATTGTTTGTATGAACAAAATTTGATTATTTCATCTGGTTTTTTAATGATAGTTATCGGTATGAATGCACAGTTTGTGCATACTGTGAAACATATGGGTGAACTTAACCGCGGACAGAATTTGAACTCAACTGCTATATTCTAAAAATTGCATCTTTTTAGCATTTGTTTTTCTTTTCGCTTTTTGGTCTAATTCAGAATGTGGTTTAATGAAAACATTGCTTCAATCTCGGCATAATACTAGATTTGAAATACGAGAACCAAATATATCACCAGACATTCCAAGCAATCAGCAACAGAACACCTTACCATTTTTAACTCAATCTAATCAGCTGGAACAACAGTATAACTACAATAGAATGCCTCAACAATCTACATATACGAATCAGCACGAAGTTGCAATAACAAAACCTTATGTACATCCGATTCAAGCAAAAGAAGATAATATATCAGTTTCTAATCGTAATAAAGGTAACTAACGAGGGAATTACCCCAACTGATCCAGTGCTTTCGACTCTATATTTTGGCAATAGGTAGACCTTGTTGAGTGAAACTAAGAAAACTCTAAAAGCGTTCGTGCCCATGGCCCTCCACTTCTGTGATATGATCGACTTTTTGTTAAAAAATAGTGATTTTTTCACGTTTTGAAAATGCCTTACTCTGTTATCCTAAGCATTTAAGAGATAAATTTTTCTTGTCGGGTCACACTGAACATGACCCATAATCTCACAAAGTTTGAAATCTTTAGCTACTATGAATCATAAGATATCAAGGTTTCAATTAGTGGACAACTAACGAAGCAGGTCCAACAAACATGAAAATCACTTTTGAGACGAAACCTAGTGGGTGATAGGTAATCAACCATGCTGATTCCGAATACCGACATAAGACGAGTAGTTAGACCTCCAGAGATCCGTTCTCTGGAAAACCAGTTTTTCGGAAACTCTAAAAAATAACCAAAACCTTTCTTAATGAGGCATGATTGTAGCCTGCACATTTCTGATTAAAATGAGATATCTCCCAGCTCTACATACATGAGATACATCCCAGCTCCGTTATATTCGACAAGTGAGATAAATGTATAAGTTGTAATTACTGCATGACAGTATGATCCCATATCTCGAATGGGGTATATTTTGTGGTTTAGTAAAATTTGTCATTTGCTAAATAATGAAATTTTATTTTTAAACTAAAGTTATGTATGAGCACAACAATGACTATTTATAAAAAATGTTCCAGCACTATCATCAATCAGAAATTAAGTGAGAAAATCTACGTAGTTTTCATTTTCACAAACTTGTGCATGACATCATCCACTGAAAATCTCATATTCTTAACTTTTCATAGACAGGCAGATGTAGTGACGTGTTATCTACACGATGATAAAAAAACCACTAATTTCTCTCTCTTTTCTATCGGACGTTACTCGAGAACAGTTTACTGAAAACTGTCGTATCACAAACAAATGAAAATTGGACAGGATAGTAATTCCTATGTAGTTCTTTGAGCTCTTCCCAATGGCGTAGTCAATTTTCGACAATAACGTCGAGTTTTTAGTGATAATCGTTTTTACTACTTTTTTTTTAAATATTTTATATCTCAATCGAGATGTGGAACATGGGATTTTACTGCATGGTTCATTCTAGTTCACTCGACGTTCGAAACTACATCCAATTCCACATTTTCAGAACGTTCCACTTCTACGCCAACCCATTTACCACAAGTTGGTCGAGGTCGTTCAAAAATAATGGAACGTCCTCTCTCACCATTTATTACTCAGAAACGAACAGACGAATTACCTGTATCAGCAACAGCACTAGTACGTTATTCGACTCTAACGTTTTCTTACTAGAAAAAAAGCATACGGCTCGGTGCTTTTAAAGTTGTTCGAAACGCAAAGAACCAAAGTTAATTATCGTTATACATTTCTTCCCTTGCAGAAATGGGCGATGGACCACCTTTAGTAGCTAACAAGCACCGCCGCAAAAATCTTTTATATTTTTGGATTTTATCTTATAGAAACTAGTCACAACTATATCGCAACCTACACATATGGCCTTTTCATCGAGATTACAATCATCAGTGACTACTCCAAAACAACAACAAGCATCAGCATTTGTTCCCTTTCAAAACGATACACCATTTTTCACTTCTCCACAAACACCGATCTCACTTACAGAAAACGAAGACATAGAAACTGAAAAGAAACCAACTCAATTATCGGCATTTTCAGCATTTTGTCAACGAGTTGGTAAAGAACCTTCTTCGAAACGAGCAACGAATAATGATAGAAATATAGCTGGTACTATATCAGAATCACCAAAGTCAAACGAAAAACACACACTAATAAATAGTAAGCGAATCTTCAATAACTCTAATGATTTTTGTATTCTTACTAATTTCTATAGATGTGTCGTTCTCAAACGTCGATAACCAACGACAACAAGTCCCAAATTTCAACGAAGTTCATTCTCACCAACAATCAGTAATGGATGAATCGACTTTAGAACCTTTACAAAATGTAATAACAACCAGAGGTGAAGAATTTACACAGCGACATAATTTCGCTTTAAATAATCATCAACGAGAACTAGCAGACAAGAATAATGAGTTAGCATCTCTTCAAACTCCATACTCAAATCATTTAGGTGAAAATAAATTAAAAATATTAAATAATGATAAAACAGAAATTTAAAAAGATGAGAGACTAGAACATTTTGTACAGTTCTAAAACTTTTTGATAGTTATTGACACTCATTCATCTTACCGTTACGTACAGATCTTTGAGACCAATATGTTTATAAGTGAAGCCAGAAACGATATAGCCTTTGTTTCCTATCCGTCCCAGACGCATTGTTTCTTCTAGATTATTCATCGTTATCAACATTTTCATCAAGAATTGCCCCCATGTCAAAGAACAACCGCCAAGAACAAAAAACAGCAAATCAGCCATCTTCTTATACACAAATTTCACCGTCTGATAGATCAGTTGGAAGTGAATCGTTAACAACGTTAGAAAAAGGTAAAAATTCATTAACATGAACTCGAAAACGATGAATTTTATTTTTATTTTAGATTACATTCCCTTATCATTCACATCCACAATCGGTGCTGGACGTGGAAAATCTGCTCATACACAATTCATGCCTGTTCATAGTTTTCAACGAGCATCACCAACAGGAACAGACGATAGTCTATCATCCATCTCGTTCATTCCATATTCGCATACACTACATAATAATGAAATACAGAATGGTCGGAGCCGAGCGAATGGTGTCGGCCGAGGAAAAAGTGTTCAACCACGTTTGATTCAGACCGATTATACTCAACGATCACCATTGAATATCCCAGCAAATAATGAATTACTAATCTCACATGCAATCACAAATGAAGCAAGAAATAACAATACACAGCGTAAAAATCAACGTGATCTGTGATTTTAAGGGTTTCATTTGTGCTATTTTTAGATTTTTCTTCAGTATTTTCTCCAACAGTAGGCGTTGGACGAGGCCAAAGATTTTTACCGCAATTTGATCCAACATCTAACTTTGAACAAAGTGATTTATCACTTCAATCGGGATCACACCTGCTGGGCAACTGTAAGTCAGTTGTTATAACTTACCTCTCGGCACACTCATTCTACTATCATCTACAGCAACTTCAAAAAAATAACTTTCGCGATCTGAACTGTTATCACTGGCACTATTCGTAACGGTTATAATGACCTTTAGCAACCCTTAGATCAACGATTATAAATCTATTTATGGAAGTTCTCAAATTCTTGAAAAGTCTGAAATTATACTATCTCTACCGGCGAAAGTTTTGGTAGACTCTGCATTTTTTCTGTAGTTTTGAGATACCTCATACATGGAGAGAGGAGAGGACGAAATTTAAAATGAACAGTACTTTTTCGTCTTATTTCTGACAGTATGTTTTGTTTTTTCTTCATATTAGATTCACCTTCAATAACGCCAAGCCTTGCTGGCCATGATAACAGATCTTCACTACGTAATTATTCGGTGTTGGATACAAATCAAAATTATGATGGTAGAGTTACAGCATCACCATCAGTTGTTCGCTCAATAGCAGCTGTGCAAGGTCAACAGTATGAACAACATCCTTCCATAAACCCTATATCTGTCAATCAGTTACAATCAATTGATAGAAATCATGTAAGTCAAGTTTTATTACAAAACATTTAGCCACGTTTTACGTTTCTACAGTTACCATTTCACAAGATCATTTAACTTTAAGCTAACCCCTCCACCGAAATAGAAAAGCAGTGGTCTTCTAATATGTCTCGCCAAAACATGGTCTCTTGTGTGATCTTAATTATTTTTCGTCTGTCAAGAGAATTAACGCCCGTTTCCATAGTAGAACTGATTTCTATTACTTATATTCTGTTTTTCGCGTTTATTTGATCATTTTTTGTCATAAAAATGATATAACACGTTCAAATAACGATGCTTATGAGATTATGGACCTAGAGAAGATTACACTAGTTGGCTTTGTAAGATGTTGCATCATCTGCTAGCATTCCATCATATGGTTTATCATCTATAATGTTACATCATCCTTATTTATTGTTACGTTATTTTTCCACTTATTATATCCAATGATGAGCTTGTATAAATAAATTTCTATCTTTTATTTTAAGTCAGAACATCTCGATATAACTGAGAAAACTCACAAATATATATATAAATGCGAAGATAGATGAAAAACAAATTAGGAAACAAGTGAAAAAATGATGTAACAATAAATAAGGATGATGTAACATTATAGATGATAAACCAAATGATGAAATGCTAGCAGATGATGCAACATCTTACAAAGCCGACTAGCGTAATCCTTCTCTAGGTTCATAGTCTAACAATATTAACATCATATAAAAAATCATGTAAAATAATCATTATTTTTGCTTTAGTTACGAGATTAAAAGCACACATGCAGCATCATTTTATTTCTCTCCTAACTAACTTCTGCGTTTATACACAGACTTAAAATCACGGCTGCTTAAAATGAATACAGGACCCTGGTCTTCTGTTTGTCTTTCAAATCAGAAACTCGACAGTAATCTTCTATTCTGGGATGAAAAGGTCTATTGCAAGTTAACTTAATAATCACTCTGTTCGTGTTTTGTTTCATACTTGTTTTCTTTACGCTCCTCTTTTTTTATTGTTTATAATTTTCTATTGTATTAAATACGTTGAAAGTATTGTACATGTTTTCTTGCAGAAATCACAAACCCACCCGGTTTCTGATAATATATCGTCGCCACAAATGTACACGTCACAAACGCGACAATCCTACATGTATAATACTGCTCAGATATCACGTTCAGAATCCAAACCTCTCCAATCACCGAAAACAGTCGTCACCGAAAAGAAAGTCGTTCAATATTATCCAAAAAATTCAAAGTTAGATAATGATGAATAAACTCTTGTTTTTTTTGTTTGCCTTCTGAAATAGAGAATGAGCATTTAATTATTTTTTGCAAAGAAAATTATATTTTTAATTTATAAACTTAAAAACAACTAATTATTACTTGTAGAAAAGATAACAATCAATCAATGCACCTTTTCCCCTCTTATTGCTTATTTTTCACTTGTGATAGTTTTTGTTTTGTGTGTATTTTGTTTTTTCAATATGGGCAGATCTTTCTAAGTAAGAATATTAAAACGTGTATTTTTTTTTTCTTGACCATGTAAAAAAAAAACGTTGTATGTTTGTTTGTCGAAAGTAAAAAATATTTCATGTAACAATGCAGAGTTTATTTATTATCTAAATCGGATCTTAAAATAACTGTGAGTAGAACACACTTTTAAAAACAAAGAATGAGCGAGTTCCTACATTCGGGTTTATAGAAAATGTAAAAATTTAAAAAAGATAGACTTTTTCGACTAAACCTATTTGTTTTAAACATTCTTATATGAACTTCTACTCTTTTATCATTTAGCGTTGCTTTCTTTTGGATCTTAATCATCAATCTCAAAAAGCATTACAAGTGAAATATGATGATGATGAAATATATTAGTCTTTATCAAGTTGTTATTTTCTTGCATCATATCAAATATATATATGGGTCATATCAAATATATATGATGCAGTTATAACAAAAAATTAAAGATGCTAGGCCCGAAAACTTGTTTATCGAAATTGTATAGTTAAATTGGTGCTGTTTCAATCTAACTAGCTGAACAAATAGTTCAAGTAAGTATCACTAGTTAAATCTTTATATTCAGTTATCCTTCTATAGTTCTAGTTTTAAACAGTTCAATGACTTTATTAAAACAGTAAAGTGATTTTTAACATAACAGTAGGAGTGGGACAGTTCCAGTTCAGTTCTTTTGAACAGGAACTGGTAACAGTTCTTAGGAGTTGTTTATTTTATTGTGGACAAAGTCGATATCGTAAATTCATTGATCTTGGTTTAAAAACACAATTATTGATTTACTTCAAAAGGAACAATCACTAGCATTGATTGCAAGAGTACGGGATGATATGAGAGCTCCAACTCCAAAATGTCGAAAAAACAAAGTTATAACAGATGAATGTCTAATGAAATTATGGCAACGTTATGATGACGGTCGTATTGACATTCCAGCGTTCTTGAAAGCTGCCGGTATGAGATATTTTCAACGACCATCAAAAAGTTAAAAAATCATCGTTTTTCGTTTTTATTAATAAACACCAATACTACATTTTTTTTCTCATAATATATTTGTCGTCACACTGAATATTCATTAAAAAGAGCGTCGTTTTTTGTTTTTACTAATAAACATACTAATAAACACTAATACTACATTTTTTTCTCATAATACATTGGTTGTCACATTGAGTATTCATTTACTCACTCATTGCTTTCGTCCAAAGTGGAAAGTAAATCCGTATATAAGAAAGTAGCTAAATTGGCATATATTTATATATAATCAACGGAAAGTAAATCCTCTTTAACAAAAATTATATTTTTCTATGAAAAAAAGTTGATTAGAATAGAAATTAGTCAGTAATCGACAGTAAATCGTGTGAACCATGGTAAAGCCATGGACATTGATAAAAAGTTATATTTGCCTATCTAGATAAACGGATACAGATAGAAAAAGTTATCCATGCATAATTCTGTTCGATTGATACTCCGTCGAACTAGTCATTGAAACAAATGTTCGTATTTTCTTCTTCAAAAAGAAAGATGATATCCTGTCAGTGTTACTGTTTACTTACTTTACCGTTGACGTTGATAATTATATCTGACTTTTTGTCTATGATGCGTCATTCTCGTATCGAACCACAAAAGAAATTTATTGTCTCAAAAATAAGATTTACTCTTAATAAGCTTGAATGATCTCTCAAAAGTAGTGTGAACGAACAAGCAAAATTTCAGTTGGGATTTAATCTAGATTTGTGTTGTAAATAACGTTGGAGACCTCGTATTAATAGTAAAATAACAGATTATAAAAATAATCTAGTAATAACAGAATACGACACAATTTGATTTTCGTTTTTTTTGAGCGATCGTTTCTACTAGGTTTTTTTTCCTATACCGTATGCCAGATTCTATTTGTTTATTTCAGATAATATTGTAGAGTGAGATAAAATGAGCAATATGTTCAAAGTATGTGTTTATAAGAAATTCGCATCTGTCTTTTACCTTGATGTTTATGTTTTTAGTTAGAAGTTCTCAAAGCAAAAAGTGGAAATGTTCTCACGGTTATTGATAATGTATATAGTACCATATTAAGAGATTTATATCTGTTTTTTTAAATATTTTTCTTCTATTTAGGTCACGCCAAATACAACTATTGAAGAATTAAAACGTCAAGTAACAAAACAGAGTACGTATTCATCGTATAATAGACGTTTCTATGATTGTATATCAGAATAATTTTTATTATATTTTAATATAACACTCTAACTCATTGGTTGTTTTCTAGAACCAGAATTATATCCAGATCGTCAATCTTATCGAACTGAACCAAGTAAATTTTATACAAACTCATAGACATACATTTTATACATAATTTCAAATTTTTGTTTTTTAGCTGGAAAATCAGTTAAAGACAGTCAAAAATTATCAGAATTAAATGTGGATAAAAGTAAAAAGATTTATTTCAAGGATTTAGGAACACAACTTGGATGGTCAACGGTACGTTTTCAAAACTCCAATAGAATGAGAATTATAATTTGTCTATATTTTAACACTAATACCTAAATTAATAAAGAAAAAAGCGTTTATACTCATTGTTGACACTCAAATGGTGAACTATGGTATGCAAAACAAAAAAAATTAATCGAGAGCATCTCTGAGAAAAATAAGACTTTGAGTACTCGATGATAGGATTTTCAGCATGGATAAGATCTAGGAGATGAACGATGAGGTCTCCGTGCATCTATTCTGCGAATTCTATTGCTGAGTATTCGAAGTTTTCTGAGAAAGCAAAAATAAGATTCCTAGCCCCTTGTAAGCTTATTTCGAGGATTCAAAGTCTCTTTTTCCGAAGAACGCAATGGCATTATTTTGAACGTGTGGCTGAGGACATACTTTTATCAACTCATTTTTTTTTTCTTTTTTCAGGTATTTTTGGCTGAGTATGCTGGTCCATTACTAATCTATTTACTATTTTATTTACGACCAAGCTTTATTTATGGTACAATTGGTAGCTCAAGACCGGCACATACAGTTGTTCAGTGAGTTGATATATACAAATTTAATAGAAAAGTTATACTTACATTTGTTTTATTGTCAGTTCGTTGCATTCTATTTATATTTTTGTTTTTTTTAGCCTTGCTGCGTTTTGTTGGACATTCCATTATGCAAAAAGAATATTTGAAACATTAGCTGTTCACCGTTTTTCACATAATACGATGCCACTATTTAATTTATTCAAAGTATGTTTATTTGTTTATTGCAATTCTTTCCACTTTAACGAGTTTATAGCGAGACTTTCAATGAAGATATTCTGTTTAGAGAAAAAGAGTTATTGTTGTTAAACGTAAAACATCTTGCGCTCACATCAACATTCGCTCATCTTTCACGTTCTAAATAAATTTACATGTGTTGTTGTTTAGAATTGTGGTTACTATTGGGGATTTACTGCTTGGGTGGCTTATTTTGTTAATCATCCAAAATATACACCAGCATCATTTGGAAATGTTCAAATTTATCTTTCATTAGCTGCATTTCTTGTATGTATAGTTTTGAGAAGAAAAAACAAAATTTATTTTCTTACGAGGGAACCTCTCGAGATGATTAATCGCTTTTGAGCCGATATTTTGCTCACACGTAGGGGTTCTCTAGACTAGAATAACCTTAAGATGATTCGGTTGTCTGAGCTTCTGGAGTCGAGTTATGAATTTTTTTGAAATAAACGCAACAGGCTCACTGAATCCATATGATATCTATCACGGTATACAGAAGTACCGGCGCAAAAAAACGAGATATACCTTCCCTAATTGTACTCGGCGAGTTGAATTAAATGACAAAAACCGCAGCTCTCCATCTCTGTAGGAAAAATGGTTATAACTAATTTATCCTTCCAGCGGAAATCACTGTTTTCCAGCGGATTTTACTTAACTTGTAAAACTTGTCCAGCACAGTTTCTAACGCAGAACATTGAATTTGGTCTCAAATGAAAGAGTTCATTGAGTTCTATCTATATCAATCAAAAAAAATGTATGTACTATCACAGGGTCTGGAAAAAAAAGATTCATGGTTTTCTAGAAAACCTAGAGATCTTGAAATCCTTTTTGAAAATTTGTCGATAACACCAATCAACAACCCGTGCAATTTTGCACAAAATGAGATGTCAACTAAGTTTTCATGAGGTTCCATTAAAAAATACAACGCGGATCAAAAATTTACCATTGAGTGAAAATATCTCAAAGAATTTATGCCAATAATTGTATAAAGCCTATAACTCAGTCATTTAATATGATCAAAAGTTGGTTGACATCTCGTGTTTTGCAGCACTGAAATGGTTGTGGATTGGTGTGGTCAAGAAATTTTCAAAATGCATTTCAAGATCTTTAAGTTTTCTGGAAAATCAGGGTTTTGAAAAATTCATAACTCGACTCCAGAGACTCAGACAATCGAATCAACTTAGGGTTATTTTAGTCTAGAGATGCCCTACATGTCGGCTTAAAAGCGATTAATCAGCTCGCGAGATTCTCTCGTTAGTTCAACTACTTATTTTAAATGATTGTTTTTTTTGTGTCTAGATAAATGAAATGGGTAATTTATCAATTCATTTGGCATTACGTGATTTACGTCCTCAAGGTTCAAAGGAACGTAAAATACCCTATCCAACATCAAATCCGTTTACAAAATTATTTAATTTTGTCTCATGTCCAAATTATACATATGAAATGGGATCATGGATGTCATTCTCTATTATGACACAAACATTAACAGCTCTTATATTTACTATAGCTGGTGCATATCAAATGACAATGTGGGCATTAGGAAAACATCGACTATATAAAAAAGAATTTCCAAATTATCCAAAACGGCGTAAAGCTATCATTCCATTTATTATCTAAACCAAAAACAAAAAAAAAAAATAGAAACATATCTAACAAGACAATTTATATGTGTGTATGTGTGTATGTTTTACCTTTTCTGTCCTACACATATTTTTCCTTTTTTGTGTTTGTTTAAACAAAAAAAATGATCGATGATTTTTTAACAAAATTCCATTTAGAAAACTATTATAAAACACTTTTTAGCACACATTGAATATTTATTATCAGTTTTTTGACAAAACGAACAACATTAATGGGTTATGTTCTGTATCAAAAATATTTTATTACTTTGATTTTTTTTATCATGATTCTCTTTGTCTTTTCACAACAATTTCTAATAGTTCGTTTGTGTTACTCATCGAAACTAGATAAAATAATTTAATAATTTGAATTTTTGTATATTTTAGATTTATATTTCAAATATGAAAGAATTTACAGTTGTTTTATATGCTGGTGGTGTTGATTCACGTATGTCTGAATTAACATCAACAATCCCAAAATGTTTATTACCAATTGGTAATCGTCCACTTATCTGGTATACTCTTAAATTATTAGAAATAAATGGTTGTCAAGAATGTTTAATTTTAACATCACCACAATATCGAACATCACTCGATGATTATTTATCATCATTAACATTAACATTAAAATATGAATTATTAACACATCATCATAGTGGTCAAACATCGGAAGATGATGAAATTGG